GGCCCACCTCTCCAGCCTGTCAAATATAATTCCACTATCTTCCTCAAAACCTGTTCCTGCTCACTTCACCAGGAGACAGACTAGGATGGGTTCAAACTTTCAAACAGCGTTATCGTGTTCCAGCTGCCCCTCCCCTTGCTGCCAGCACCGCAGAACCCCCACATGAATCTCCTGGTCACGTTCTGGAAAACGGGGGCAAGATCGGGCTCCGTTTCCCACCTCTGCCCTTTGCCGTTGCTTCCAGCTGCTTCCCACACCAACCTTGATGAAGGTGTCGATCTCGATCCTCCTGCGTTTGGCAAGCGCTTCGATCTCCACTTGGCAAATGGAGCACACGTACAGGTGGTTCACAGCAGGGCCGCCCCCGAACCTGGGCACAGGGAGAGAGGGAGGAGAATGGAGACCTGCAGGAGAACGGAAATGCTTCCCAGCCCGGAATCCTACGGAGACGCATTTTTATCCTACTGCGGAGGCAGGGGAAGGGGGGCAGCCGGTTTCTGGCCGGAGAGCGCTGCCTTTGCTCACCACGCTGCCCCGGGACGACGCCTTGACAAAGCCCACTTTGGGTTACTGCGGCGGCCCTACCCCACAGGAGGCTCTGCCAGGCCGCCCCGAGTGCTGCGCATCTCTGAGGTGCCCTTGGGGGCTGCCCAAGGTGTGAAGCCAAACCCAAAACCCGCTGGGAGGAAGAAGGAAGCAGCCGTATTCACCTGTTGTAGAGATACTCCCACACGTTCTGGGGCAGGATCACCACCAGGTCGTCGATATAATGGTATTTATTAGGAGGGATCCCTGTGGAGGAAAAGCAAGAGGGAGGCTTAGCCAGGAACTCATTATCGCTGCGTAAAGACACAGATAAAGTCACATCTCCCTTGCTGAAAACTCCCCGAATCCGCTTCCTCTGCTAATGGCAGGCAGCCGAGAGTTCATTAACTGTGGAGGTTTCTCTAATCAAGAGCTTTGTTCCCAATTGCTGATTTATAAACGCAGGACAGCGGAAAAAGCGGAACAATAAACCCTGGTACCAATAGCGCCCGCGCTGTTCTCCAACGGCCAACCTTGCCGACAGGGTAACAGAGAGATGCTGTCCTGTCTGCTTTCCTCGGGTTTGTTTTCAAAACCAAACTAAAACCTGTTGTTTCCCAGCACCACACCCCCCTCTGGGGCTCGGATCAGCAGGGTAATTGTCTCCTCTCTCCGCCAGCAAGCAGGCTGGAGATTCTGCCACGGCAGCGGCTCCGCTGCAGCGGGGCGACAGCGGGAGCCTCCCCCTGCGTTTGGGAGCGCAGCAGGAAGCGCAGCGGTGGCGGAGAGCCGCCGTTCCCGGGTCCAGCAGCACGGCCTTACCTCCATGAGCGCACAGAAAGGTGTGGTTGGTGATGGGACCGGGCTCGGCAAAGGTGTTGAATTTATTGAGCCACTCTCGAGAGATGTAGAACTGCAGCAAGCTGTGCTCCTTCATGCTGGCCAGCGACACGACCTTCTGACGCTCTCGCACAGCCTCCTCGCTGCTCTTCCTGAAGGAGGGAACGGAACGGAAAATGAAGCCATTCCTGAAAAGTCTTCCAAAGGCATTGCTGTAGCCAGCAAGGAACTGCTGCAGCCAGGGCACAGCTCACCTGTAGAACAAGACATAGGCTTCCGCGTTCTGTACCACCGTCTCGTGGACTTCGGTGACGTACTGGTCATCGAACTCGTACCACTGGCCGTTGATCACGTTCTGGCAGTAGGCTATGTAATGCCCACCTGCAACAGGGAAAACAACTCCGCTGGGATTCGGAGGGCAGCCAGCAGCCAGGCCTGGGTCTGGGAAGCACTGCCTCCAGCGCTCATCTCGTCCTGGTTTGCCCGTGCTCCGGGAAGATGGACTTACTGCCTGCTGTGCCGTGGTGACAGATGACTGACAGGAGATCGTAGGTGGTGATCTGGGAGACACACTCCTTGGCTAGGAACGGTCGCAGATCCAGCCCTTCCAAGGGGAAGGAGACGTGACTGTTGATCTTGAAAGAATACATCACCTCATGCCGGAACCGTTTCAAGTGGATGCAAAGAATCTAGAAGACCAAAGACAGAACACCAAAGTGCAGTTTTGCCATGGGAATTCTGATCCAATGGCACATCTCTGTGCATCTCTTCTTTGTAGGAGTTCTTCGCCTGTTAGTGCTGAATCCCGCTGGCTCGTCGGCTGAGAATGGGAAATTCTGTTCTGGTCTGAGTGCAGGGCTGGCCAGCAAAGCAAACTGCTGTTTCTGCTCTACCTCTGGTCTCCTCAGTGGCTGCCAAAAGAAAACTAGGAAACAAGGTGCTTTTACTCACCTCTGGTAGCCGGAGGACTTTGCAGTACTTTACTCCATTCCGCAGTCTGGGGGAGGAAAAGAAAGCAGCTGTGAGGAGTCCCTATAACAAAGGGATGCCGAAAGGCAAAGGCTGCGTCGTGCTTGCTTTGAAATCCAAGACAAACCCTGAATTCCAGCAGCAACAAATTCAGGCTCTTTGCAGCACCCCTCCCAAAAGAGGCATGGCATGAGCAGTCTGTCGCGCCTCCTCTGTCTAAGACAACAGCTTCACTGCCGCCAAGCCACATCCCTGTTCATATCCTTCTTCCTTCCTTTTCCCCCCGGAGCCAGCCTTTTCCTAGCGCGATCAGTCACCTCGACCTCAGAGCTCTGGTGCGAGGCAAGGCCGACTCCACAGCCCAGGCGGCAGAAGAACCGTCCAGGCAGAGGGCACGGCAAAATGTCTGACAGCAGCACAGGGAAAGAAAGTTCCAGAAATACGATACAGGTAATGCCGACTTACTTTTTGCACCGTTCACAGCTGTACATGTTGTCCCCTACAAAGAGAAGAAAGCCGTTAGGTGCTTGCTCTGAGCACGCAACGCCGACACGGCCGCATTCCCGTCCAGCGCGGAGAAACTGAGTTAGGCAACTCCTGGGGAAGCCGGCGTGAGAGGAGATGAACCCAAACCTCCTCTCAGGAGGAGGAGGCAAGGAGAGGATGCAGTCAGCTAGCAGGGAAGCACTTGCCCACCAGCACAAGCGAATACAGCAAATGGTTGGAGTCCTCCAGAGCTTAGGGAGTCGATGGAGGAAAGGAGAACGGCTAAGGAGCGCTCACAACCAGCAGCCACGTCTGCCCGGTGCTGAGGACACTCCCACCCGCATTTCCCACGCCGGACAAAACCGAGCTCAGAGATGCTACCTGCCAACTCTTGGTACTGCCAGTCTCTGTGTCAGATACTGAGGCAGGATTTCCAGGAGACTGAATCCGCCTCCCAAACACGTGTGAAATACTCTGTGCGGTTCTTCTTGTTCTGCGCTGTCCGAAAACTCACCCTTCAACTCATCTGCTGCAAAAAAGGCAGCAAGGCAATCCTCCAGCGTCACAACAGGGCCCCAAAACCAGCTAGGGATACAGGACACCACAAACCTGCAGAGGAGATGAAGAGTTACGCATAAAACAGCTGGACACTCTGGCATACAAAGCCCCGAAGGGATGATGGGTTTCCTCCTCGCTGTAGGTCCTCAGCTCATCACCCACCCCAGAGAAGCAGGGAAAACATGATCTCTCTGAGCTGATGTCCCCATTGAACAAACTGGAAATGATCTGGAAAACTATGCCAGGAATTAATTTGCTGTGGTGGGCAAGACTGAGCTAAAGGCAGAACGAAGCGAGGGATTATCAGCTGCACGAGACGTCTTGAGGCATGTGACAGAGGAACAGTAGCACGTGGTTTACGTGAAAAGGCTCAGGGACCCGTGGTACCACACAGTGTCACCCAGGAACGGTTACAACTGGCACGCTGCTTAGGGACTGCTGCCTCCCAGCACGGCAGGGCAAACCCCAGAACAAAGAGGTCCTGCGCAGGGAACGCACCTCCGGATGTACTCCATGATGAAAGCGATCCAGCCCTGCGAGGCGTAGTTGTCCCCACACGCCCCCGTCTTAGCTGGCACGTTTTGGTAGATGGCAGAGTGCAGCTTGGCCAGGTCCTCCTTCCCTGGGATTGGAAGTGACAGGTCCTGGAATGTCTCCACTGTCGTAGAAACCTGGAAATATCCAAGAGGAAGAGGTCTGGGTTTCCTGTGGATGTAGCGGAGCTGGGACTTGAGCTTATCACCTTTTATCACTGCCTGGCTTTTGCCTAGGCCAGAAGCCTGCGCTGGCAGGAAGAGCAGCCCGCTCCGGCAAATTACTCGCAGGATGCTTTTGTCACCTGGAATCAGTTTTCTAATGCAAACGTGATCTCGCTAGGCCAACTCACTAACACAGATCAGCAAACAAACCCCTGCAGGCAAACAGGGCTTCTTGGCATGGCAGGTTCCTCCCACCTCCCCCGTCATCCGCCTGTCAGCGTTTTAACAGGCCTGCTATATCCCACGGTGTTGGGAAACAGGAGCACCATTTCCTCGGAGATCTACAGCCTGGAAGGCTGTGCTCTGTGACTGCCAGCCACCCGGAGACTCACTCTGTCGCAGGTGAGGCACTGCACCAGGCTGAGAATGGAGCCATCGAAGATGTCAGAAATCACACTGCGATAGCGAAGTTCTTTCTTCTTTTTCCCAGAAGCCTGCACCTGGGCTGAAAGAGAGACAAGCAAGACCCGTCATGTACGCAACCACCCAAGAACAACACAAGTGCTGTCCTGCGTGTTCAGACACCGCTTGCACGCCCGTGGGACAGAGAAGCCCGCTGTGAACGGAGGCGAGGAACACTGCGGCCTCGTTTGGCAGAAGGAAGGGAGAAGTAGCCGACTGGACCCACACAGACACGCCAGCTCTCAGCAGGCAGAAATCGTCTCACTGGAAATCCCGTTTCCATCCTCTTTACTACGTGTTTAGAAGCTTGGCCCTGCCACACAGAGTCCCTGCTTTTCTGAGCTCTTGCAACATTTTGCCCTAAGCTTTATCCTTTCCTTCCTCTCCCCCCTCACCTGCCCGGGTACTTGGTCCTTTATTTTCCCCTGTGACATTTACCATGTGTTCCCCAGGTGTATTCCACTGGAGAGGGCAGCAGGGACCAGCCCAGCACACAGTTCTGTTTAATAACAAACCCTCTTCCCCACACACACGTGCATGGAGACAGAGCGCTTTGTATCCAGCCGGAACATCTGCGACTGGGCTGACCTCAGCCGAGGGGCTGGGACGCAGCAGAGGGAAGAATGCCGCTATGGAACAGCCGGAGGGACAGCGGCGTGAGCACGTGCCATTGTGCTCGCAGGCTCCGTGATGCTGAGGGATGTCACTTTGTAATTTGCTTGGGATGAAGAGACCAGTTTGATAACAACAGAAGGCAGGCTGCACTCCCTAAAAACGCTCCCAGCATCTGCGGCCTTAATGCTATTACTGTGAACCCCAGATGTCCACGAGCAGGAAGCCTGCCCTCGGTAACATCACCTCACAGCGCTCTGGCCCATGTGCTACGACAGGCGAGTCTGGCAGACAAATGTTCACACACCTCCACGCTCCCCTGAAGGGACAGGGTTTGTGCCTGCGACTTCACAGCCATTTTGTTAACAACGAACACAGCGTGCAGATGCAGGCATGGAAATAATTTTAGGCTCAAATGTAAGAGCATACTACATCTGTTGTAGCCAGAGCTTGACTTTACCTGCAGGTTTACTCCCCAGTATTATTTTAGAAAGCCCTGATGAATCAGCACTTCTTACAACTTAATCATGATGGATTCCTGGCCTCTCCTGTAAACGAGGCCCCTCCTCCTCTACACGCTCCCCCCACCGCCTCCCAGCATACACTCTTTGCCCCACCTTTCTTGAGTACGTAGGAAGGCCCAAGCCTGGCAGGACTGGAGCGAGGAGGGCTGCTAGAGAGCTTGGAGTGCATTTCGTGATGGACTGGACTGCAGGGGCGAGAGGAGCAGCGCACGTAGGCATCGTTGTCAGGTTCTGTTTGGGAGAAGGGGAAGGCAGAAGGGCACTGTTACAACTCCAGTTACGACAGGAACCCTACCGCAGCCAGTGCCAGCCCAGCCCTGCTCCAGCACAAAGTGCCGTGTCTACTCACTGTCCTGCTTGTGCAGGCTGGCGGATACCGCTCCCCAAAGCACGGATGAGAGCGTGTACAGAGCTGAACAGCTAATAATTCCATATGAACAAACCCAACTCGCCATTTTTTCACACTTACGGCTAATTAGGTTTCACAGCTTGCTCCTGTATCCCTAATCCACACGGCAGCGCTGCCGTCTTCAGCGCCAGCTGGCAGAGTAAGCCTCTTACGTAAAGAAGTGTTGAAAGAGCGGCTGTGCTCAGTCTGAGGTGACTCCACACCTACGGCTCAACGGCTGCTCTTTTCTTTCCCCCAAGACACAGAAATGCACCAACTGTGCGTCTCCCTTTTCTCTCCACAAAGCCAACGGTCCGACATTAACAATTACACTGAGGAAAATCTCGGATGCCACGTCTCTTGAAACCCACAGAAGGAACGGTCACGTTACGTGTCCCTTGCCACTGCACTACAACGCCGTCCCTGTGTGGGATCACAGCGTGTCTTCCCAAAAACAACGCAACCGGAAGAGGTGTGTACCTGGTGTCCTGCACGGGCTGGTGGGATGAGGGGCTGGAAGCATCTCCGGGGAAGCTCTACCATCAACTGGCATCATAGTCGTATCAACATCCGCATCCTCATCCACCTGCTCCGAGTTGCTGCGCCGATGGCCGCAGAACTTCCTGTCCTTCATCCTCTCCTTCTCAGAGATCCCCCTCCCCGCCTCATCCTGGATCAGCAGCTCAGTCTCTGCCATGCCCCCAGTTGTCCGACTTTGACCATCTCCTTCCCCCCTCTCGCTGCTGGAGTCACACGAGAGGAACTCATCCTCGGAGGGACTTCGGTCACCCTCTCGCTTGTCGTCCTGGTCAGCGGTATCCAGATCTCTCGTCTCCGCAACGATTGGTTCCTTCAGCTCTTCGTGAAGCTGATCCATCAGGCACCGCAGGAACTCCTGAGTGTCCTGAAAACCGGGAGTAATTCCATGTGAGTATCCATCCAGAAATGGGGCAAACAAGAGGGGCAGAAGAGGAGATTGGCTCCACTCGCAGCCTCTGTCAGTGCTGCCCGCAGAGGTCAGCCACCCCTGCAACACAAGCAGGGTTTGGCCATGTGCCAAGACGCCTGTCTGCTACACAAATATTTTTAGCTCTTAAATGCTAAAAGGCCCAGTTTTTATCTCAACATCTTCAGCTGAAGACGCTGACCAACCAGAGCGCAGCGGTAGCGTGCCAGCCACGAGCTGATTTATCAGGGGTTTCACACTGATAAGAGGCGAGAGACAAGGAGAAGCCTAAGGAAGACGGCAGGCTGTAGGTAACAGACTCTTATCCACAAATCAAATTGCATGAACGCCAACTTCTGCTCATGCCAATCCCTCTTAGAGAGGACAGATTAAAATCTTTAATAAATAGGGAATGGAACGAGAAACCAAAGAGTCTACAGTCTAGGTGCAAGCTCCTACATTCATAATACATGGTGAAAGAGCGGGTATGTTGGCTTCAAAGGACCTGCTGGAAAGCAACTTGCTCTTCTGACAACCCCAGAAAGTTCATTCTGACATTTCTGTTATTTTAGGGAAGTTTGGAATTCAGCCTGCCCTGCCTTCTTTTCAACTTTATCTCTTTACAGCTGAGAATTCTCAAATCCGACGTACTTCACATCAAAGATAAATGTAGGAGCCGCTTCATTAATTGTTATTTTTATCCTCTGCTTTGACTTCCTGTCAGTGCCACAGTTCAGACGTACAGTCCTACAGTCACTTCTGTAAGCCTGCTTGCTAATCATAGTTTGATGTTTATGTTTTATTCAAGAGATACGCTGATAAAAACTTCAAAGCAAGTAAGACGCTGTCTTAGGTTGCTGTAATTCCCAAAAAAAACAATAGAGAACATTCCCATCTTTAACGTTATCCAGGCTTCCCAGCTCTGATGTGAATAAACAATACCTGACTCTCACATAGCACGTACCAATAGATCTCAAAGCCCTTTGTAAAGGAGGTGACCATCATAATTTCAGAGGTGAGAAAGCTGACACTGGAAAATGCATGGATTTGATACCAGCAAGCCGGAGGCAGAGCCGGAAGAGATCCCAGGTCTCCCCAGTCCCACCCAAGTGCTCTGCCAGATCACCAGTGCTGACACAAAACGGGAATGACCCTGAACTCGAGCTCTTCCTTCTCAACACCAGCACCACCGCTGCAGGAGGAAAAGTCTCACCATCTCTGGAACAAAGGCATGTTTTTGTTGAGGCCCCACCTGCTGCGCGTAGCCTCGGAACATGGGGTTGACGAGTTTAATTCCATGGGATAGACTGCTCGGGACAACATAACTTGGGCTGTTTAGATATGGAAAAATAAAAGAAAGAGAGCAGTTAGTTTGCTTATCGGGCCTGGAGCCAGGTTGTCTAACAAGCCACAGGACAGGGTGTGGTAACTAAAGAGGACAAAAGATGATTCTGCACCTGCAAAGCCCGGGCACAGACGTCTCTATTAGCTGGATGACATCGAAATTCAGAGCCAGAAACCATCTTTCAAGTCTGTCCTTCCGGGCAGAACCTTCCCTAGCGCATATCTAACGCTCTGTCCACACGCTGAGCTGTCTCTTCCCAGAGCAGGGTTTTGCAATTAGCTACTTGGTTTGATTTGGCAGCGCCACGTCTGTCTCAAAATCTGCGTGGGCTGACCACCCAGGACATGAGGCCAATCAAAGCCAGTAATAAAATGACATTATATTGCTTCAAAGTCTACAGACTTCTCCTCCGGAAAGACAAGGCTTTGGCTCTGTATGTGAATTATCCCTTGGTAACACCTACCATGACACACGTGTGCAATGCCGCTGAAATTCCTCGTTGGGTTTATTTCTGGGTGATCGCGCAGAGCAGACACCTTCAGATTTAGGCAGAGCTGCAGTATTTTATGCTGTCTTTTGAACTGATCTAGGATTTGTACCAACAGCCAACATTTCCCAAAAAACCACCTGCGTTTTCCACTCTTTTGGGTAAAAACCTCTATCGCTTTTTCCATCCAAATCCTCAATCCCCCTGCTAATCAAGAGCCGTGCAAGCACATGCTGGGAGGCCCACACAAAATACTCAGAAATGGCCAAGAGTATTCCCTTACTCCATCATTTTTTCTTCACTGCCAACAGGGAAGCTGCAGCAAAAACAAAACCTCTTGCTTTTTGAAGTCATAACATTCAGAATGTATTCTTTCTGCTGGCACCAGTATAGAATCACAGACTGGTTTGGGTTAGAAGGGCCCTTAAAGCCCATCTAGTTCCACCCCCCCTGCCATGGGCAGGGACACCTTCCACTAGACCAGGTTGCTCCAAGCTTCCTCCACCCTGGCCTTGGACACTTCCAGGGATGGGGCATCCACAGCTTCTCTGGGCAACCTGTCCCAGAGCTCCCCACGCTCTCCGGGAAGAATTTCTTCCTGATATCTAATCTAAACCTCCCCACTTTCAGTTTAAACCCATTACCCCTTGTCCTGTCACTACAGGCCCTTGTAAAAAGTCCCCCCCAGCTTCCTTGTAGCCCCTTCAGGCACTGGAAGGTGCTATAAGGGCTCCCTGGAGCCTTCTCTTCTCGATGCTGAACAAGCCCAACTCTCTCAGCCTGCCCCCATGGCAGAGGTGCTCCTGCCCTCTGAGCATCTCCGGGCCCTCCTCTGGACTCGCTTCAACCAGTCTATATCCTTCTGCTGTTGTGGGTTCCACAGCTGGACGCAGCACTCCAGGTGGGGTCTCACAAGAGCAGAGCAGAGGGGGAGAATCCCCTCCCTCGCCCTGCTGGCCACGAGGATCTGGACACAGCCCAGGATACGGCTGGCTTTCTGGGCTGCCAGTGCACGCAGCCGGCTCGTGTTCAGATGAGCTGGCATGTGCCCATTTTATCACCAGTAGCAGGACAGAGGATCTCCTAGATACAGAGGAATCCTCGCCTGCCCACCTACGCGGGGTTTGAGCTGACTGCCGCGGACAGTGCGCTTATCCCTGCAGCTCCAGTTTCCTCTTTGCTGCTGCCAGACTCCAGAACTAACACAAAACCTGTCCAGATTAGATTAGGGAGTGACCACTCACCGTTTCTTATGCCAAACCTCAGACACCAACTTCTGGTAACTTTTGCACAGCGCTGGTTTCTTATCCGTCCGCACCAGTCCACCACATTCCAGAAAAAACTGCGTGAGAGGTGGGCTACGAGAAAAACAGAAGGGAATTCAGTGCACAGAAATGTCTCCTCTGCTTCTGTTTAAGGGTTTATAAAAACCTAAATGCATGCCTTTCCAAAAGCATGCTTGAGATACTGGTTTCTAAATCAAGGAGAAGCGATTCCAGACGCAGACTGGTCTCCTAACTTGAAACAAATGAAAGAGGCTGATCTGAATCTGTTCCCAGTATAGAGAAGTGATCCTGGAATTAGTTCTCATCAGGATGGCTAGAAAATATTTTAGGATATGGGTCGTTAGATCCCACTGGGGAGAATAAAGAGGTGTGATGTGCCTTCCCATGTGACAAATACATTCCTGTCACAATAGGAATGAGAAGTTTGACTTCAGGCACTGACCTAAACACGAGTCGTGTGCATAGCCACAACTCCATTCACTCTTCACTCAGTTTCCTACTGTAAAACTTCTGGTGCCCTAAACCAACACTCAACCTTTTCTGCACCTAGGCTGAGTGATTCTGTCTGCGAGACTCAGGAAGGCCTCAGACCAGAGGCGCCACTTTCGATATGTGGTGAGGTTTGGTAAAGACTCTACTGAAAGGCCCTCGTGCCTACCAGTTAGAGAGAGCCTGAAGTGCTGCATTCATGTAGCAGGAGTTCCCAAGGTTTTTCATTCCAGTAAGGCCTAAAGCACAAACAAGAGAGGCATGAAACACTTCCCAGATGTGCTGCTTTCTACATTCCTCCCCAGCGGAGAGGGAATTCAGCCCGTTGTGGGCCATCTCCCCACTCTGCTCCTAGGAACCTCTCAGTGCAGGTCCTACGGATTGCAGAGTTACCCTCACAGCCCCTTCATCAACTCCATGCAGAGTTACCTCTTGGTTTCAAATCATCGTCCTCCGATTCAGACTCGCCTTCATCAGCCACGGCAATTGGAACGGCTTTCAGAGGGTGAGCAGGCAAAGGAGAATCCTAGATGAAAGACCAAGAAATAAGCATCAGAGAGAGGCCTGCTTTGGAAGATGAGCCGTGAGAGATACTGTCTTACCCATAAATTGAGCCATCCTTTATAAAAAGCACTCTGGAGAGAGAAGAACCAGTTGCACTGTCACTAAGGCAAGGAGAGAGTGGAAATAGCCCCATTACTGCCTCCCATACACATGATAAGAGAGGAATATGCAGCAGTGTCACAAGGACACGTGTTTCTGGTCCGACAGCTAAAATTTCTATTGAAAATGCAGATGTGACAGCTGTTGTGGTTCTTCCCAGAGACAGATGCCCCACCGAAGAGGATAGGAAATGTTAAAAGTAAAGTAAGAATGGATCTTCAGGTTGTCTGGAAGTCTTCCTGCTGGGAGATCCTACAAGGCAAGGCCGTTGGGGTCCTCTGGCTACAGGTAGCCACCTTCAGTGAAAGGGTTCCTACCACAACAAAAGCCTGGACAACAGCAGAAACCGCTCGGCTAATTTTACAAGAGGTAAACAAACCCCCTGCCAAATGTTCAACCCTGCCAGGCCGGGACCCGGACCCACCGGTTCAGGGAACTTCACTGGCGGTGACTGGGTGTGCGTTGCCAGGCGCTGGTCCAAGAACACCTCCTTTTCACAGGCGTAACACCAGATGCGGAAAGTGGTCAGGTTCACCGTCAGGTTGTGCTTTTTGGCCTAAAAGTGCACAGGTGAAATAATGAATCCGATTTGGCAGCTGGCTCAAGTTGAAGCGAGAGCTGGACTACCAGAACAGGGTAGAGAAGGATTAGGTTAACGGGAAAAATCCAGCTCTGTCTGTCTTAGGATGGACAACAGAGGAATATGCTCACCTGTGCATGAAGTGTGCTGTGGTCAGCAAAGGACTCCCCGCACCCAACATAAGGACAACCGATCTAGTGAGAGAGAAGAGCAAAAGCACAACAGGCACAGCAAATTAGAGCTTTCACAAAATAGTCTGCAGCTCCAGTCCCACCAGCAGCTGCAACTTCAGAACTGATCTTGCCACTTTTCTAACCTGCTTTTTATTCAGGGCCCAGAATAAGATGAAAAAATTGGAATGGCTTTAATTTCAGAAAGAAAACCTGGAAGCAGGTTTGCACCCACGTCAAGGCTCCATTCCAAGGCAGTTGCTCCAATGGGTGGCTCATCTGAGCAGACTCCAAACGTCTGGGCATTCCAGTACAAAAATAAACTGCCCCTGCCCGCCCACCTGCGTGCCCCTTGGCATTCCTTTCCAGCACATCTTCGGAAGTCTCGGGCTTGCGGCCTCCCTTCACCGCTGCCAGCAGAGGCAGGACGCAGCCAACAGCCAGTGCTGGGTATTTGGTTCATTCCTGTTGGGACTACCAGGGGCAACCACCTGTGAGGAGTGAACCCTTACACCCTGGCATATTCTGACAGCATTAGCCTTTAATCTAGGGAGTCTTTTTCTTGGAAGCCATCAAAAATGGTGGAGAGTTCTACTGTGAACCCCCTCTTTGCTCCCCGCTCTTTTTTTTTCAGTACAATATTTGTTTTTAAGTGACATTAGAGAGAAGTCCCACCACATCATGCACACAAAGAGCAAGCCATTTTTACCTGAAGACAAGCCCAGAGATTTGGTCCCACAGCTCCACAAGACTGGCAAGTTCCCTGCATATTCATGATAAAAGAAGGTTTGTTGGCTTGGTTGGTCTTTAAGTAACCTCGTCCTTCTAGAGTGGGAAACATCTCTACAAGACAAGCCTCAGCCAACCTGCAGCTCACAGTATTTAATTTCTTAATATCACATTTCCAATTAAATTCCAGGTAAGTGACACGTCTGAGCAGATAAAATGACAGCAAGAAATACATCAGACGGGGTCAACAAAGACTTGCTTCGTGGGACACGTGCAAGGTACCTCAGCATGGCAAGGAGGGTCTCTACGGAGACAGGCAGCCTTTTCTTCGACAAGCAAACAGGCAAACCCACGCACAACAGCTAAAAGGGAAAAAGGACTGAGGACCAGAACACCCTGTACCTTGGATTTGAGCAGCAGGTCATCCCTAGTCACCTCTCCTATGGAATCCAGGTGAGGACAGATGTCTCTTGTATCCCCCATTGTCACCGACGCTCACCTGCGGAGAAGTGTTTTCCTAGGACAAGAAGGGATAGTTCCTTCCAGTTACACACTGGATTTGCTCTCACAAGATACATTAGCATGTTTTGTGTATTAGAGACGACCAGATCCATCTTTAAGGTTCAGAGAGGAAAACAGATCTAAATCTGGAGTCAGGCGTATTAGCACGCAGAGTTCTGACCCGCTGCTGCTGGCGGCACTGCGGTGTGGTGGGTAAGCGAGCAAGGCCGCGGGGAGGAGAGGGAGACACGTGAATAAGGTGATGAAGACGTGTTCAGAAGTGCGGGGAGGTGCTCAGGACACGAGCACAGCTGCAGCAGCACAGCTGCCCACTCGGTTTCAGGTATGGGGACCGATTTGCTGTAGCCACAAAATGAAAACAGCGGTACTGTGACCTACGAACCACCCTCTTCTTAAACTCCCAGACTGCCTGGATCATGTAGCACCTCTGAATGTCGCAGACTCCTACAGCAATAAGTAACAACTCCCATTAACTCATACATGCTTTACATACCTAACTGGTCTGGCGTAGCGTGATCCTGACTAGACTGACAAACCACTTCCCACCTGTGGGAAGCGCAGCAGGGAGGGTGGGAAACAGCCATCTGAAAAGGCTTCTTGCCAAACACAAATACGCAGCACCAAGAGATACGAACCTAATTAGCTGGTTTGCGTGAAACTTGGATTAAAAGTGAAAGGGCGCTGCAGCCCGAGACACGAGTATTTAGCCCATGGTGTCCGGGGGCTTTTGGCCCTTCTGTGCTGATCTAACACATTTAGTTCTTACACTATACCAAACACTAAAAATACGATTACTGTTGTAAATGAGGCTGGGCAACAGGGAATTAGGCTTAAATGGTCCGTAACACTGATAACCTGTCTTCAGTCTCTGAGGAATTCACCACTTCACAGGTAGATTTTTAACAACATGAGCTACGTAACTCTCAAAGACGGAGCAAAACGTAACGACACACTGTTCCAGCCAGCTCCTACATCCAAGGTTTCATAGCTGCACGCTTACGAGCACAGTAAACACGTTCATGGTGGTCCACGGGTATGTGAAAGACTTCAAACACGTCTCGGTAACATGCAGCTCTAAAAACCAAAATGAAAAGAGCTTGTGTGTCTAAGCACAGTTTAAATAACCTCACGTGAGGCTGCTAAAAAGAAAAGAAAAAAGAAGACAAGTAATAATAACAACCCAGACCCGGATCCAGAATATTACTGCTGGCTGGAAACGAGGAGGATAGGAAAAGCCCACATTGTTACAAAAAAGAACTGGGAAAAGTTAACGACTCCGGCAGCGTGGCTGTTACCCTCTGCTGTTTTTGCACATTTGAAGGATATTTGAAAGAAATTCCAGTGTTACTTGGACTGAAGCCCTGACAGGGAGGAGAAAGAGAATTAAACAACAACAACAAAAAGGCTAAATAAGCCGATCAGCAACACTTATCCCCGGAGCTGGCCTAGCACCCTGCGTCGGCAGAAGACAAACCTCAAGGATAATCTCGTAACCATGTTTTTCCAGCACTTTGGAATGGAATAAATTGAACTGGAGGAGCAAAGCAAAACTGGAGGGAGAAGAAATCACAGCAGTGGTTGTAACCAGGATCTCAATAACCTGTGAAAGAAATGCCTCACAAACAACGGAGCCTTTTCATGCAGCTTCGCAGAGACGCAAAACAGTACCCTGTAACATTGGATGACTTAAAAGACAAGTGACAAGTGTGGTATCTCTGACTAACACGTAAAACTGGGACACTTCCAGGCTCTGAGTCCCTTCGTCAAAACCGACCCCTTTTCGCAAAAGCATCAGCTGGTCCAATTAAAAAACGAAGTGTCAACGCCACGTTTGCCACTTCACCTCTCTTGATTTCTTATCCCCTTCTCTTTTTGTTTCCTAATAAACAAAATACTGTCTTAAAACTTTACTCCAGACCCCTTCACCAGCTTCAGCAAACTGGGAATCAGCTTTGGAGCACGCGGTGTTATGTACAGTCCTGTGGATGTGGGTGGTTTTAGTGCATTCTGTGGGACCACCCTTCTAGTCAAAATTAAAACCATGCCTTTAAACTTGCCAGCACTGGGATGCTGATATTCCACCTCAGGCTTCCCCGTTTGAAGAAAACAGGGAAAACCTCCTTTTCTCCTCTCAGCCCTGCCTGAACACATCAGAAAAACTGTTCAGAAGGAAGTATTCAATCCCAACCTTGCCAGCACTCTGCCCCAAGAGCTTTAGCTGGCACACACAGCTGTAATGCTGCAGGGGAAACCAGGAATGCAATAAAAGCACTGTCAGAAAGCTTAATTCTGCTTGTCAAAATGTACTGGGTATGATGGGAAAAGAAGTTACCTTAAAACAAGTCCTTCAGCCTGTCTTTCTCAAGCACCACTGTGAAGAACAGTACAGGAACATGTCAGAACAATTCCACGGTAACTCCAACCTACTTTCAGTTGCTTAAATTGCTGCCAAACCCAGTGTCTCGGCCTTCTACAGCAACACACTCTTCGGGTTTGGGGTTTTTTGTTGTTGTTTAAAACAGCTGTGTGGTTTTGTACCACAGCTTGAGCCAGCTGTCAAGAATTTCAGAGACGTGCAGAATCACGGTCTGCAGAGTAACTACGGATAAAAGAAATCCTAGCACCGTTCATCCGCAAAACAACTACCAGGGCTGTTCGCTCGTCTTGCATAACCTGCCAAGATAAAGGAGTATCTGCAGTTGTTCTTAGCGACGCTGTAGACACGAGATGCTGAAGAAAGGAATATTTACTGAACTGCCCCACCGATCAGGAAGAACCACAGACCAGGCGCCTGTCACTCTCAGCTGCACGTTTGCGCCGCATCACGTATTGGAAAGGCAGGCATTTTATGTAGAATAGGCAAAGAGACCGTGTTTGAATAGAAATTTATTACTGGAGGTCACAATGTGAGAGCAGACCTAGAAATCTGGGTTGTAAAGAAATAAACACCTTCGGGAACGCCCCCCTCGCCTTGCTATGACGCTCCTCAGGCAGAGCAGACCCCCGACACCCCAAATCCTCTCCTTAACAGCCAAGCATGAGCGAAGTTTAACGTAAATATCCCTGCACACCGCTGGATTCCTGGGGAACGAGCCCCCGGGAGAGGCACCAGGGGCCGACCCGGGCACCGCGGGCCCTCGGCGGGGAGGGGGACCGGGCC